ATCCATTTGTTTGTTGATGGGCACTTAGGTTGTTTCCAACTCCTTGCTATTGTGAACAAAGCCAAGATAAACATGGGTGTGCATGTATCTACTTGTCTGTCAGTTATGGTCTCTTTGGGGTATATTCCCAGTAGTGGAATTGCTGGGTCAAATTCTATCTCTATTTGCAAATTTTTGTGGAGGTGCCACACCACCTTCCACAGTGGTTACACCATTGTACACTCCCACCAACAGTGAATCAAGGTTCCAGTTTCTCCAGAACCTTGCCAGCGTTTGTTGCTTGATATTCTCTTAAATTTTTCTATTCTGACTGGGGTGAGATGATATCTCATAGTTGTTTTGATTTGCATCTCTCTTAGAGCTAGGGATTTTGAACATTTTTTCATGTACTTGTTAGCCATCTGAATGTCTTCTTTGGTGAAGTGTCTGTTCTTATCCTGTGCCCATTTTTCAATTGGATTATTTATCTTGTTGTGGTGCTCAAGTATTTTATAAATTCTGGACATAAGTCACTTATCTGAGATGTCATTACCAAATACTTTTTTCCAGTCTTTGGCTTCCCTTTTTACCCTATTGGAGAAGTTTTTGGATGTGCATAGGGATTTGATTCTTAGAAGGTCCCATTCATCTATTTTATCTTCTTCTGGTTGTAGGTGAGAAGTTTTGAAATCAGACTTTGCTCTTACTTTGCAGGTGAAATGACTGACTAGCCTTCTTTGAAAAAAGAAATCACCTTTTTGAAAGGCTGGCAATGATAGCTACTGTTAATAGAACCACCCTTATTATATGTCCTGTGCCCCACAAGTTTATTTAATATCATTGTCACCAGTTTTTAAAGAAAGAGATTTGGAAAAGTTAAGTATATGCTTCTTGAGGATGTTGGAAAATGGCAGAGATAGATGGCACCTATAACCTGCCTAGTGAAAAATCTTAATGTATTTGCCTTCCTCATCTTTTTTTTTTTTAACCACACAGTATTTGAAGGTAGGGACTTTTATGTTTTGTGCTCTCACCTGACTCATATATATTCTAGTTTTCATAATGCCTTCTAGTTTTATGATGGCTATTATTTTATTCCTGTCCCTATATTTCTCTGTCTTAGATGGCAAAGTGTGATGGCTGTAAACGACAGGGTAAGCTAAGTGAGTCCATAAAGTGGCGAGGCACCATCAAATATTTTTGTAACCTGGAATGTGTCATTGAGTTTTGTCATCAGCAAAGTACAAGTGAACTTCTTTTACAGAATAAAGGTAAAATTAATATTGGATAATGGAATATTTATGTCAGTACTTTCTCACTCACTTCCTCATTGCCATCAAGTCAGAACTGACCCATACCTGACTCTCCAGCACGTTTTGAGAGGCTGTTAATTACACAGAAGGAAAGTGCTCATCTTTCTCACATGGAGCAGCTAGAGGATTCTAACTACCAGAGAGGCACTGCCTTTGGGTTAACTGTGTAACCCCCAATGGAAAACTCCCTATTGGAGTACTGGGAATAATATTAATGTACATGGTTGTATAAAACCTAATAAAAACAAAATTTCAATTGTGTTCAAGTAGCCTGGATTTCATTATATTTTCTTTTAAGAATCCTTCAACATTTTTCTTAAAAGAAAATGAATGCTGACGACTTTTGCTTTTGAAACCAAACACGCTTAAATCATCAATAAATGCATAAACACTAATTTATGTAGTAAAAGTAGACTCCACTTATTTTATTCAATTTATTTGTACATAAATAACACTAAAGGTTAATTTACTTAAAGTAAAAATAGAAAATCAGGGCAAAGGAAAGGGGAAGATATAAATAAGTTAACATATTGCTGTGACTCATAAGATTTGATTCAAAGCTTGCTTGTAGCCAAGGGAAAAACAACACATTAATTATATCATGAAAAATAAAGTAGATCAGTTCTTCATGGGTAGCAAAGTTTTTCCTGGCTAAGTATGAAATGATTTTCTAAGTAGGACAGCTAATGTGGTTAAAGGATTCAGGTGAGTAGATGAAATTTGTGACATGTAAGTGGCTCCTCCAAGTAACACTTCTGAGTATTAGATTTGAAACACAAGATACTAAGTTCTGTGATAAAAGCCTTGAGTCCTGATTCCTACCTAATTGTATATGCCTTTTGCTAACTTAGCTCTGGTGCCTAGTCCTTAGGGAGTTGCACTGCCAACCCAAAGGTGGGCAATTCCAATCCACCAGCTCCTTCTCAGGAGACTGATGGGCATTCTCCTTCCATGTGACTTACAGCTTTTTTACAGAGATAGATACTAGTTTTGCTTTTGAAAATTTAGTTGTTAAACATGGCCTTTTGGTGTTGCTTTTTGTGTTTACATATCAGGTCTTACCTTTTTATTTTAATCAGTAAATATGTCTAAGGCACAAACTGCATTGACGGAGCCCCTTTCTTCAAGGATGAATTCAACACCAGTTATAACCAATGTCATGTCACTGGCAAAATTATCTATTGCCCAACCTGCAGGGATCACTAACAGTATTTTAAAAGGTATGACTGGATATAAAGGTACTTGGCTATAGAAGTGAGCACTGTTTTGTCTATGTAATTCTCATTAGTATTATCCTTTGTTGCATTTATGTGAGGAAACTTGCACTTCTGTTCTGACGAAAGCGGGAGACAAGCAGTGTGGCATCGTTATAGGAGGACATGGTATATGTAGTTTTTTTTAAGAAAGATGCCACATGATTTGAATATTATTGCCTCCTTACTGCCAGAAATTCTAATACCAGTAGCATTTTCAGTAGAGTCCAGGAATCCTTACCTTTTTTGTATGTAGATGGCCAAGGGATATTGATGGAGTATTTCTTTGGATCAGTTTTTGAGAAATTATGGTCTAGACTATAGCACCCTTTAGAGAGGTTAAAGTAACTTCTGGCCTTATTTTTTTGTATGTATAATGACATGAAATAAATTTCCATCTTTACTTTTGTATATTCTGGAGATAATAATGTGATTTATATATATATGTATGACAACAACCTGTGGAAATGGGTGCATTGCGGGATGGGCTGGGAGAGTGGGAGAGAAGATGTGCAACAATGAATAAAAAAAATTAAGAAAAAGTGTATTTTAATTTATAACAGGTACAGTTACTAAAGAGGCAACAAAGACCATCATTGAAGATGTAAGTTGTATTAAGACTTTACTTGATCTTACCCCTTATATTTACTTTGTTTGTTTATAGCCTTTTAATATATGAATGCTTTTATTTTTGTAGCTTAGTTTTCAAAAGAAGTGGAGTAATAATATATTATGTATGACAGTGGAATAGTAGATTATCCACTAAATCATTAATTAATAAAAATTCTAGGTTTTGAACCTAGGTCAATATTAGATTAGTAATTAAGAATTTGTTTCTCAATTTATATTATGAAGTTTGCCTTCTAGTTCTTTAATTCTTTACATTAATATTGGTTGCTTAGACTCCTTTTTTACTGTATTGCAGAATTTTCCTCTTAGACTAAAAAGTCTTTTGAAAGTTTAATGTTAATGTTATTTTATGCAACTTTGAATTATGTCAGGCCGAAAATAGTGCCAAGTAAAAATATATTTAAACTCCCACTTTATGCCTCAAATGTGAACTGTAGAAAAGTCCAAAATTAAATTTTTGTCTAAGAAATGCATAATTTCAAAGCTGACAGCCTGAAAGGTTTGCAGATTGTCCCATTACCCTGTGTCAGCATCATTCTGGTTGGAAAACAACATTTGTATCATCCTTTATCAGTACATAGACCTTATGTATCAGATGTTGATTAGTGTTTGTGACCTTGTGCTGCCATCTTAACATTTGCTCTTGATATAATTAAAATTTTTTTATATCATGTAACAGTGCTATTCAAGTGTTCATTAAGTAGTGGTGCTAGTGCTAAAAAATGTGCTTGAGATTATTCAGTAACTTTGGAATGGAAGTCAGATATAGTCAAACTCTATGAAGAAGGCCAGAGTTTATTCTTTTAGAAGAGTATTTTTAGGGGTAGTGTGTCCCCTTCCAAAAGCATCATTAAAGCACTTGTACCCGTAAGTTCTTTGGCCTCAATTTGAACTCACACATGAGTAATTGATAGTCTGACGCACAGTCTGCCTCGGCCTCGTTTTGGCTGCTAATATTGAGCTTCTCCAATAATTCCTTTAACAAATGTAGTCGGTCTGATTCCTATGCAGTCCATCAGGTGAGATAAAGATGTAAAGTTGCTGTTTGTGTTTTTTAAAAAAAGGTATTTGTAATGAATAAATCATTGAAAATGAAAAATTTGATCATTTTCTTTCCAGTTTCATTTCTGTCACCAAGAACATACTTTCTGACTTCTATTCTTGTTCATTATTTCCAACTTTCATAGTCCAGTCACTATTTATCATTAATGCATCTTGATTGTATGTAAGGTTAATTTCAGACTGCAAGATTTGGGTAAAAAAATTCAATTTCCTCCTTTTTGGCTCTTCCTGTAGGAGCATATATTAACAGGTCATCCATATATGCATACAGCTAATATCTTGCCACTCACAACATTATACAAGTTCAGTTGCAGCTTGTACAAGCTCATGTTCCAGTTCAGATTGAGGCCAAAGAAACTTAAAACAAGTCCATGAGACCCAAAATAAGATCTTGAATCCATTCCACCTGAATTTTGAAATCATCTTAAGAATAGATTTGAAGCATTGAATGCCAGTGATTGGGATGACATCAAGGATATCTGATGATGAGAATAAAAGATCGTTACAAAGACAGAAGAGAAAGAAAAAACTGAAATGGATATCAGAAGAGATGCTGAAAATTACATTAAAGTGTTGAGAAGCCAAAACAAAGGGAAAACATGCTGAAGTAAAAGAGCTGAAAAGAAGATTTCAAAGGGCAACTCAGGAAGACAAAGCAGCTTGGAGGACGAAGCAAAGTATTATGGAATGCACAGAGAGTTGGAGTTGGAGAATAAAAAGGGAAGAACTTGCTCATTTCTCATGCTAAGAGAACTGGAAAACAAATATAGGCCTCAAGTTAAAATATTGAAAGATTCTATGGGTTATATGTTAGATGATCCAGGAAACATCAAAGGAAGATGGAGGGATTACACAGTCACTGTACCAAAAAGAACTGACTGACATGGAAAAATTTCAGAGGTACCATAGGAGCAAGAGCAAGTGTAATGAAAGAGGAAGCTGAAGTTACACTGAAGACACTGGCAAAAATAAGACCCAGGAATCGGTGGGATACCAACTGACTTGTTAATAATAGATGTAACTCTGGATGCACTTACCAGTCTATGTCAGGAAAGAGCTATCTGGCCTGTGGATTGGAAATGGTATCTATTTGTTTCCGTTCCCCAAGAAAGTTGATCCAACAGAATATGGAAACTACCAAACTATATCATTAATACTACATGTAAGCAAAATAGTGCTGTAGATTATTAAGAAACTGCTGGAACAGTACATAGATAGGGAACTGTCAGAAGTTCAAGTAAGATTTCATGGCCCCAGGGATATCATTGCTGATGGCAGATATCTTGGCTGAAAGTGAAGAATACCAGAAGAATGTCTATTTGTTTTTTATTGACTATGCAGTGACATTTGTCTGTGTGGATCATAACAAGTTATGGTTAACTTTAAGAAGAATGGCAATCCCAGAGCGCTTAATAGTGCTTATGCGACATGTATACCTTGACCAAGGAGTTGTTGTGCAAACAGAGCAAGGGAACACTGTATGATTTAAAATTAAGAAGGGTGTGCGTCAGGGTTTTATTCTTTCTCCATACCTACTTAATCTGTATACTGAGCAAATTATTCGAGAAGCTGGACTCTATGAAGAAGAATGTGGCATCAAGATCAGAGGAAGACTCATAAATAACCTGTTAGGTGGATGACGTAACCTTGCTTGCTTAAACTGAGGAGGACTTGAAGCACTTGTTGCAGAAGGTCAAAGAATACAGCCTTCAATATGGATTGCATCTTAAAGTCAAGACAACAAAATTTCTTAACACTGGACTGATAGGATGGAGAAAAGATTAAAACTGTCAACAGTTTCATCTTACTTGGATCCATGGTCAGCACCCTTGGTAACAGAAATCAGGAGATGTATTGTGCTGGGAAAGTCTGCAGTCAGGACTTCTATTGAGGAGGAATGATGTCTCTTTGAGGACTAAGGTGCGTCTGATTCAGACCATAGTCTCCGATCACTTGCTATGCATCTGAGAACTGGACAGTGAATAAAGATGACAATAATTGATGGCCTTTAGGCTGTGGTGGTAGAGAAAAGTACTGGTTATCCCATAGACTGCCAAAAGGACAAACAAATATGCCATGGAGAAAAGTGTAGCCAGAGTGCTTCTTTTAGGCAAAAATGATAAAGTTTCACCTCATACTTCGGGCATGTTGCTAGGAGAGGCTGTTCCTTAGAGAGGGATGTCATGCTTGGAAAGGCGGAGGGTAGATGAAGGGGAGGAAGACCCTCAATCAGTTGCACTGACACAGTGACTGCCTCAGTGGACTCTAGGGTATCAGGAAATGTCAGGATGCCACAGGATAGAATAAGGTTCAGATCTTTTGTTCTTAGGGTCACTATAGGTCCTGTTTGACTCCTTGACACCAAACAACAACCCTTAAATTGCATAAACAGTTACAATCAGGTAAGGTTAAAAAAATAAAAGAACAAAATTCTGACAAGATGATCAGTGCTGCTCAGATGAATCCTTGACAAGTCTTTCATTTTTGCTAAAGTAATTTGGTGATTTTTGGTGATTTGAAAGGAAGTGACAGTGGAACAAAAAAGTTGGCAAGTTATGGTTGGCTTTCCAATTTTTTTAAAGCCCATAGAGGTTTTAAGAATGTAAAAAATTAGCAGGCATGTTTTATTTGCTAATTCTGAAATTATTAAAGCATTTGTTTTATCATAATTGAAAGAGGCTGTAAAACAACATCAGCTAATAGGGATGCTGTGAAAGTGGCATAGAAAATAGGCTTGCATAAGGTTGGTGTTGGAGATATGAAAAATGTGTGTGGATTGTTTTCTGAAGTAACAAAGGAAAGTTTGCTAACATTAGGAAAACAAAGGCTGCAGGGAGAAGATCCTGCCCATTATCCTGTCCTTCAGCACCTCAGCTAACAGTATATCGACTAGCACAGCTTTTTATCCATATTTCAGCAGCAGTTGCTACTGAAAATGATCCAAATGTAGATTGCTATTCATTGGTGGCAAGACAAAAGTTGGTAAGCATGTATACATACCAAGAAATCTTCAGTGAAACATATGAGGGAAACAACTTTAGATTCATTCTTTAGCAAAAATCTTCCAGAAAATTGAACTAGGCTTCTTCATAAATACATAGAGATAGTGGTGTTCTTAGGTGTCTTCAAGCCAAGTACTCGTAGTGCTTTAAGTACTTCAAGACTCATAGTGACCCTAAGAACAACAGCTCTGGACTCTGCGATCCTTACACTTCCTGACACATTAGAGCAGTCACTTTGTCAATCCACCTGGTCAAAGGTCTTCCTCTCCTTCACTGAGCTTCTACCTTTCCAAGCATCATGTCCCTCTCCAAGGAATAGCAATATGTAGTTTGTCCTAATTTGTTCGGTGCCTCTAAATGCTTCCATTATTGTATTGTTGGAAGATGGTAATGGTAACTTCTGTTGAATTAGTTTCAGACTGTATTCCACGTGAAGTTAATGAAATGCCATTAAGTTAATTTTGTGTTAATTTGTATGTGTTGTACATGAACATTATATTTTAAAATTCATGACTCAACAAATCACTGTTGTAGAATTAATAACTTTACAATTCATCCCATAATTATACAGTTACAGTATCCCTGTATTGCATCACTGTTACTAATATATATTATTAAAATATTCTGTACTGATTGTAGATGTATGTACTTTGGAAATGTATTTCCTCCTCTCTCTAATGAACCTCTTTAAGAATGTGTCAGTTAATCTTGAATTATACTGCTTTTTAATTATTCAGGGTTTTCAGAAACATGTTCCTCATATTAAATGTGATTGTCCTATATATGCTTTACCCATTCAGAATACAAAAAAAATTCACCAGTCATTTCAACTGTTTTACAGAATAGTTCTGATTAGTATTTTCAGCTTAGTCTCTTAAAAAGCGTAATATAATGTCATATTCTTATGACA